CTCTCTCTCTCTCTCTGAAGGTACGACGAGGCCAACAAGCACTATGATGCCATTCTCCAAGACGACCCCACCAACACGGTAAGAGTGAGAAGCAGGGAAAGAAAGGGGAAAATCCCTCTGCTTAGTGTTCTACTTTGCTTCACTTTGTGGTCTCGACTTTTTGGAGGGCTTTAAATCTGCCGAGGCACTTTGGTGTTAGCAGTGTGAGTTTGCTAAGTTAAACTTCTCTTGGCCCCTCTGACCTCAATCGCAGTGCTGATCAGCCGCACAACTGAAAAGTGTTTAGGAGGGGGGTCTGGGTGGGTGGGGGCTGATTCATGGCCTTAGTCCGTGGCAGACATGTTTGGTGGAAGTAAAGCGTAAATAAAGATCTGGCCTTTGAAGATGGTGATTTACTGGACCTTTCAGACCCCCACCTTGAGTGAACAGGGCTGAGCTTCTGTCCCACCTTCTCCATTGTCGTCTATTGACTTCAGGTGCAAAGTCTGCCGTGTGTGCAGTTAATACAGACGTGCCCTAAATAACCCTTCTCTGAATCTCATTCCTTGCTATCTTCTCAATTTACTATTCATCTCTGTGAAATGACTTGCAGAAGCATGTCTAGCCAGTGTTCTGCCAATCCCACACCACCAACCCAAAACATAATGTACCTGCTGTTAATTGTTTCCATAAGGACATGTGGCCATGCAAGAAAATAAATCATTTAAAGGGTTTTCAAAAGAAACCATGACCTTATTTATTTTGGCTGCACCTCGCACCCCTCCCCCCAAAGATGTTCAACAAGTTTCCTGTGCCATACTGACATATGGATTGCTTTAGATGTATTAAACATTTTCTCTCAGTGCTACAGGCACAGCATAGACGTTTGTGCTTTGGATGCCATGCGAAGATTCTTCACATCGTCGGTTATCTGCTTTAAACAAATAAAAGCCTTACTGAAAAAACTAATAATCCGTACCTCGCTCTGATGCACCCCACTCCGCTTGCTCTCGCTGTGGCATAGAGGAACAGCCTCCTCATCTTTGTCCAGCCACAGCTGCTGCCTCACGCCACGTCTCACTCCCACCTTCACTTTGTCAAGACCATCTCTGTTTATTTTACGCTTTTGTTGCTGTTGGAAGTTTTCATGTCAGATTGGCAAGTCAGCCTTTAAAACAAGGGACATGACTGTTTACATGGGCAGCTCCCCTCAGTTATATTTCAATTTAAAATAGTAGTTAGGTCAAGCAATATACTTCTTTTTAAGGAAGAGGATAGGCTGAATGTCGCATTTGGGCTCAAAATATAGTCGAAGGGCTGAAAAACAATTATAATTAGTTTTATTCTTTTTGATAGTGTCCAGTAATTATGGATGCTAACAAAATGCTGATGCTGCCTAAAACAAGTCTCTGGCAACACTTAAAGCAACATAACTTGCAAAACATTGTGTGACTGTCTACTTTCCTAATTTATGCTGAGGGCTCGAGCCATGCCATGTCTGACAAGGATAATACACTGGCATGGTTGCAGTGAATATTATGAAAGGATTTTTTTATCCCAGTCATGCTGTCCAACACAAGACTGAAGTCAAAAGCCACAAATCACGTTACTTTCTTGTAACACTGTCATTTTCATATACAGAATGGGTGTTTCTCCAGAAAATGTATGTTCAAGTAATTGGTGTAATCTGCAACAAATTGCTTCGCATTCATCCACTGTTTGGACAATGGGAGTTGTAATTTCAGTGAATCCCAGGGCTCCTCCCCGACATGGCACAGATCCTTTGGGGATTCCAGGGACATCCTCGGAAAGGGAATGGTCAGTTTCCCGGTCTCTGCACGCTGGATACTGCCACCCTTGCGAGCGTAGGCTGTCAGTCATACCCGGGGCTGGGAATGGAACAAAACAGACATATAGGTCCTCTGTCCCAGGGATGTTGACCTTAAACCTTTTTCCCACCATCCTTGTCCTGAATGCCTTGGGTGTAGTGGCGGAGGGTGGGGTGATGATACAATGACATAGGTTAGGTCACCTGTCTTGGAGTGAGGGCCATCGCCTCCCTACTTGTTCTCCCAACACGCTCTTGAGAATCAGGCAGGGGATGGGCCTGAGAAATGGCGGAAAATTGGCGACCACAAGGAAGACTTGCGAGGCATCCCAGCATGCGAAGCAGAGATTGGAAACTGAGCTGTTGTAATTACAGGCTGTGGAATAGATGTGGTACCCATTAACCAAAATTGTTGAATCAACAAAAATTGCTCAAGGTTTTTTTGCCATGGCGGTGTCCAAAAAATGTTTCAAACTCTTAGCCCTTCCATTGCTTGCTATGTTCCAATACCTACAGCAATGATCTGGCAAAATTCTTGTCTGCGTGCATAAATGCATTTTTTTTCCACCTTTTTATTTCTTCTGAGTATTTTAGATTATCTAGTGCCCACACTATTTGTACCAATTTATTTTTTTTTTCACATTGAGTTAACTCAGTGATTGCATTAATAATGAATTCCAACGCTCTCATTTCACCCTAATTGTTCAATATAAAAAGCTAGTATTTCTTAAATAAGCCACTGAGGTCACATAGACGACTCCTGAGGTTGCCCCACAATCGTATGCAATTACAGATTCATTGTAGGACACGGGTATATTATAAGATTGTGTGGGGTAAGTCTTCTGAAATTCAAAGCCCCAATTCAGAATCTTGTGACCACATAAATGTAAAGTACACTCACTAAATTAATGGAAGCCTTACTGATAAAACAAAAAATAACATTCCGTTTCGTAACTGATCATTGAAAGCATACATCTCCATTAATGCTTGTACAGGAGTAAACACATCTTTAACAGCATCATAAACATGAATACTTGTCTGAACTCGCTCTTTCTGTTCCTTTTCTACTCAGTCTAATCAACTATGTACAGTGTGCCACCCTTGTTGTGATGTTTCTTATTTTAAAGGAAGGTTGTGGTAGGTCCTAGCAAAGAGCCAGGGGTGATGTAAATAATCCACTTCTCACTCTTAAGGTCTCCTCAGACCGCTAATTAAAAAAGAATCACGACAACAGAGGGATCAGACCCACTGCCAGGTTTTTCTGGATCATTAGTTAGAGAAAGGAGGAGAGAGAGAGGAGTGGTTTGGAATTGCTTCTCGTTTAATAAAGTGCTGTGTGACTCTCTGGGCTACCAACTTCCATATGTTCCTTTGAGCCCCAAGTGTTCTTTATCTGGGGGGAAAAAACGGGGCGAGAAGAGAGGTGGGTGTAGTGATGGCGGAAGAGCACAAGTGCAAAAATCCACATTCAACATCACTGCTGTGTTTGTTTAATTTTCTGCTTCCTTTTTTCGGTATTGGATGAGGAAAGATCCCACATGCTTGTAATTTAGTCTCAAGTGAGTATAAATTCCTTAATCTCACATAGCATCAAGTTCTGGTGAAATGCACTGAATATAAAGTGGTGTGATCTTTGTTTTATAGTCAGAGGACATAAACATGGAAATAATCGGTTGACCTTTCACTGCTCCTCGTTGCTTGATAACTTATTTTCAACATGTTCAAATTCCCTTTAGACGACCCTGATACTAAAAATACACATGTACAGATGTAAACAGGGTTTGGGAATAAGTTGCATTGCAGTGTAGGTAGATATCCTTACTGTTGATGTTAGAATCCTTCTTTGTTTTATCAAGATGTTAGCTGTTGCTGTTTTTCTCTGAAAGGCTAAAATATTGCTTGTCAGTTGAGGCTGCAGTGTCTCTGCAGGTCCCTGTCCCAGCTTAATGGATAAGTGGATTTCTTGTGATGGCAGTGTCAGAAGAGGCCCAAATTTACAGCCCCCTATACATGACTCATACACAGCCCTCAATGGCTTCAGTTATGAGTGCAGGGAGAGGAAGCCCCACTCAATCAAGTGCCAGTCCATAAATAAAATAGGCTGTGGCAGGGCAGTGCACTTCTAATGGAGCGGCAGCCTCCTGTCAAGGTTTTCACTTACTACCAAAAGGAGGAGGAGGAGGAGGGTTGGCGGGAGCAAAACATTTGGAAAAGTCGCAGCAGCAGGAGTAATACTTTCTAATTCTGATTGATGAGATTCTAATCCACCTTAAGGTCACTTCAACATCAAAACGAAGCGGAAAGCAATTTTCAGCTGATGTCAGTTGGGCTGGTGCAGCACTAGATGCGTGCCGTGCCGGCAGGAAGACAGGCGTTGGGGTTTGGGGGGAGCGTGCCATTTTCCCCACTTGGTTAGGGGATGACTCACCACTTTATCTCAGCCCCTGAGCTCATTCCAACTCCCAAACATTGACTCATAATGTGTGTGTCCATCTCCTGTTGGACATGGCCACTAACTATCTCCAATTATGTCTTGGTAGGCTTTTATTCATTTAAATGTCCCAGTAATAATATGAATGAATAACTTGACAAAGTTAACTTTGTCAAAAGTGTCTGTGCCTTTTTTGCCTTTATTTTTATGGCTGCTGTTGTAATGCCCCAAAGTGCTTATTCATCTTATAGAAATGATTCAGTCTCATAGCAAAACTTAAAGCAGGATTACGGTGCACTGAAACGACACTAATGTACACACTTAAACTCACAACTCTTACACTCACTCATCCTCTCACCCCCCTTCAGACAAACACTTGAGGAGCTGAGTTCCTAATCCTGTTTACTCTCTGCTCTACAGGCAGCAAGGAAGCGCAAGATCTCCATATTGAAGGCCCAAGGGAAGAGCGCCGAAGCCATCCGGGAGCTCAATGAGTATCTGGAACAGTGAGTCTTTCTACAAGAGGGGGGAGATGGTCAGACACCACCCTCCTCTCCACCTTCCCTGGCTTTTATTTTAATTAAAAACCAAGTTTGCTTTTAATTGAGCTGGCACAGCTTGTGCATAAAACCCCAGGAAACTCTTTCTTCTACCTTGACAGTTGGATGACTGTCATTATTGTTACTGTAATAGGTAATGCTTACATTTGCCTTTACTATGTTACAGATGCATTCTCTGTTGTATTATTACTGTTATGGCTTGATGTAAAACTCATTGTCATTTTGTATTAACAGGTTTGTTGGGGACCAAGAAGCGTGGCATGAGTTGTCAGAGCTGTACATCAACGAACATGAGTAAGTCCATTTTTTATAATTTATGTCACAGTATTATTTCCGTATTTGCTTTTTTTTTTAATGCACCATTATGTATTTTAAAATCAGTGAGGCTAAAACCCTAGAAATTATTTACTTTTTTACTTCCTAATGGCAGAAAACACAACAGTGACAATGTTTTAATTTAGCCTAAAAAGGTATCATAAACAAAGGGCAGCTTTTGGTATTAACGCATCCCTTCAGGAGTACTGCTAGATGTGACAGGAAAGCCAAATCTTTTCCACTATGTGCTTTTCTTTCTGCTTATTCAATATACAGCTTCGAACCAGCAGCTCACATTCTTTGTGGTTATGCTGTGACCCTCCTTTGCAATTACAACCCATTTAAGCTAATAGAAAATTCAAGCAAGACATTTACTCCAGCTGTCGTGGGTAAATTGAAGCTGGATTTTGAGGATAAAATAAGCTCTCTCTTTCATTAAAAGGATTATCTAATAGGTTTTGGGGAGCATTAATTTAAAAAACACTAACCTTAAAAAACAAAATGGTAAATATCTCAATGGTGTAAAGGCACCAGAAAAGGAGATGCACAACAGGATATGCAGCAAATGAGCAATATATTCAACCAGTTTACACCTCCTCAGATCAGTTAAAAGAAATTGGTATGGCATCACCATGGACACTAAAACAACCAGTATGAATATAAATTTGTCAATAATTGTTGCAAAACGACACAAAATGACAAGAGATGCATCCTGCATAGCAAAATATATGCAGTCTTCTTCACTGTGTGAAATTATTTTAGAATGAACTCTTCTTTTAATGACAGATTATATTATATTATATTATATTATATTATATTATATTATATTATATAAAGGTGCCTTAGAAATCAGTAATCTGTTTCCAATAAGGCAGCCATATGTCCGAGGTGTATCTGTCAGTTTCACAGGGCTGCTCATCAGACTGATGGCTTGATCTCCAGAGGGCCGTTGGATGGCTACAATGGAAGGCGGTGAGATGCCAAACTCAGCCAGGGGTCTGAATGGAGCCCTGTCCATGTTTGTCACATAAGAGTTGTTTAATAGGATTTCAGTCTTAAGCCCCCTCTCCTACATATGAGAGCAGACAGACTCCCTGGCCTCCCACTGATATCTCAGTTGCCAAGGAGAATTGCCAGACAGACAAGAGCAGGGTAACAAAAAAATAATTTTGTTTGTGTCACCTTTTATCCCTCCTCTGGGGCTCAGAAGTTAGTGAAGCAGTGTCTGTAGTTGAACTATTTTATATGCGTGTGTGTGTGTGTGTGTGTGTGTGTGGGCACACTGACTCTAAAGTTGCTTGGTTGCTCTGGTAGGAAGGCAGTGGCAGCAGGAATGTGTAGCACGGTGAGAAGGCTACTTATTGGATATTTCATGCTTTTGTCTGGGAGGCTTTATTGCTGTAGTAGGCAGAGGAAATCCAGGGGTGAGCGGATTATCTCCCAGCTTATCCCAACACTTCTAATATCACACCATTCACTCCCACAGCCCCTTATCTACAGGCGTGTCAATTTCTTTTCTTTGTTTTCTTTATTTTGGGTTACAAACTCCCTGTTTCCCCTCCTCCTCCTCTTCCGGATAGCCCGGCATTATCGCCACTCTTTTCCAGAAGGATGGAGCAAGGAGCAGAGAGAGAGAGCACTTGCTGTGAAATTCCCAGGAGAAGGTGGTGGCACTTTTCTTTCTCCCCCTAGCCAGAGAAAACAGAGGGTGATGGAGAAGCAGGGAAGAGAAATAAACTCTCCTCCCCTCACTGCGCAACACCCTGGGAGCTAAAAATAAACAAAGCAGTGTGTCTGTGCGCTGCCATTGTTTGGGTCACAGCAGCCATCAGTGTTAACACATTAAAAACGTAATTAATAGCCTCTGAGTTGACACTGTTAAAACAATCCTTATGCCAGTGGTGTTTAGACAGGAGATTATTTTGTCTGTTTGTAAGTATTCCATAGACCCTCTGTCGGAATCTGCTGTTGGCTCTCACTCCGACCCAGTTTATGAGACAAAATTGGACTGGTCATCCAGAATTGCAGGATAAATAGTAATCATTTTTTCAAACATACTTTGCACAGTCTGAATCCATTTTTGTCTTATATGCAGTCAGAATGTGGTATTGAAATGGGGGGAAAGCCACTGCTGATGGTTTTACTAACCTCCAAAAGAAACAAATACGATTCTTACAGTCTCGCACATGATGGCAGCTACAACCTTACTCGAGCACTGTGGTAAAAAAGTGAGCTTAGGAGAGTAGCTTGGTGATGGTGAGGGTTATATTGCTCAGAGGAAGAGTAGAAGAGGTAAGGGTCTGGCTCGGATACAAGATTCTGGTCGAAGGCTGATGGAGCGGGCTCTGTTGCAGACCACGGCCACTGCATGAGCACATCTGAAAGTCTTTATGGAGAGGAAGTGGTAATTGTAAGCAGCCCCCAACCTTCCAAGCCCTCTGATCTCCCCCTCTACTCAACCCCTTCCCCCTGTTTATTTCTTTCTTTTTCTGTCCCCACCTTCCCTTCCCTCCTATGCTGTTAATCTTTCAGCTAGTTACCATGGCAGACTTTAAAAAGACTGATCTGTTCTTCGTGTTGTGGTAGGCAACATTTGGTTCCTGCGAAAACTCTATATCTTAGCATTTCCCTCGTTTCTCACAAGTGAAATTAACCGTCTATCGCTTTGTAGAAGCCTGTTAAGGAAGGCAGTGGTCGTTTCGTTTTTCTTTCAACTGATACGGTTAGTTCTAAAGCAAAAATGAAACAAATGGCATTGCCCAAGAATTGAAAGCTTGGCTACAAAGAATGACATTAACTTTAGATTGGATGTGCTGATAGACAGCCAGTGTAGCCCCATTTTCTGTTGGTGCATCTGCTTTGGCCTTGTGTGTGTTGGCTTTTATTTTGCTAGGTGCACAGATGTTTTATGGCTTTGTGTTCAATGATATACTGTATCTTAGCTCGTCTTGGCCTGGGACTGTGAAGGGGAAACTGTGTATTAGAAGTGGAGTGGCAGCAGATTAGTGTGAGGTCAACAGCTCAGCAGTCTGCTGCTGAGAAGTGATCTCATCTGAGTATAGGCACAGTGTGCCAGCTCTTACTGTAGTGCTGACCTCAGGAAGGTAGTTAACTACACATTAAAGACTGAAAAAACATACAGACGGACAAGATTGATCCTCAGTGTCCCCAAAGGAGGGAGAATCACCACACTAGATAGGCTTTTACCTTTGCCAGCTGTCTGGACTGGGTAATCTTTACTGTAAGCCTGTAAATAAACGTTATGTCATGTGGGGGATCTTTGCAACAAAGTCCATTGCGTGTAAAGTGACCCGCACCCCTTGTAG